GTGATGGCCACAAGTGGTGTCCATTCGAGTTGTGTCCGATTGAAAGAAGGGGACAGACGTTCACTACTGAAGGGTTTGCCCAAAACGGATGAGGGATCTCATGGCGAGCGCCTACAGTTCGGCGGCTTTGAGCGCATCGTCGACTTCCCGACGCCCGACACTCCCAACACTCTTCACGACGACATCCCATTCAAAGAGCTGCCAATACTGCACATGAAGACCACCAAAAACAATACAGTGATGGCTCTGGTGACGAGTGGTGGGGAACTGGTGCTGACGCGCTCGTGCGGAATGGAGGGCTTCAAGAACTGTCGGAAGGGCACCAATGTTGCCGCACAGGCCACTGGCCTCGCGATGGCCAATCGCATCACCAAATTGGGCTATAAGACCGTCAGACTCACTGTCAAGGGCTTGGGACCCGGCAGGATGTCCTCAGTCAAGGGCCTCCAGTTGGGAGGCATTCACATCGTGTCCATAACCGACACGACGCCCATATGTGAGGTTCCCGGACAGAGACCTCCCGCCGCCAGAAGTGTGTAACAGTTATCGGCAATCAAGTTGTAGTCATTTGTAGTCAAAAGTGTTATCAATTTGAATCATAAATATTTGTAAAAATAAATTCAATGTTTTGTTTAAGATTTATGAAAATGTTTTAATTATAAGAATAATGATTGAGAGACTAAATTACATCCGAAATAATTAACAGTAAATTACGAAAGCATTGATTCAAAGGCCGAATCGGGAAGGCGTTCGGCGAGGAGTGGCCGGAGTGTTGGGTCGCTTGAGTCCTGGCGTCACAATAGGCGTCGACCTCACACTCAGTGTGTTCTGTGCATCGGATTCCTCTTTGCGGCGTTGCATCTGTTGCTGCGCTAAAGCCATTTCAAACTCCATATCCTTTTGATGGTCTCTTTGCTGTTGTTTGCGTTCGAACCGGGATTTTGAGGACTCTTTGATGGAGTAAAACATTGGCCCCAACTCTGCCATCCACTGGCCCTCCACTGCAGTCACGCACTGCATGTACTCCTTCGTAGTCATGACTAACTCGTGATAAACGACATAATCGGGAGTGAATCCCATGCCATAGAGGGATGAGGTCGGGTGCAAATGACAGGGCATTCCGGTGCGACAGTTCACATACTCGCCGATACCCTTAAGTCTGGCCGCCTGATGGAAATATGCCGAACAAATACATTTGCGAACGCAGTCCCATTCGGTGCCGCACGACAGCACCGGCAGCTTCTGTGACTCCATTATCTCTTTGAGTTGTTGTCGCACTTCTCGCACTTTCCTCAATGCCTTCGCGTGAAGGAAGTGCTGTTGACACCAATGGGTGGAGAACTTGTGTTGTTGCCACTGGAGGTACACATTGAGTAGAGTCAAGTGGTCAGACTCAGGCACCTGGAACTTCTCGCGCACCAAATCGCTCTCCTCTTCCCTGCCTTTGGGTCTGAAGAAAATGGTCGGAACGGAGAGCATCGACACTATGATCAGCACTTCTGACGAACACCTCATTTCGGTGGACACTAAAAGCATTTTACTCATCGCCGGATCCAATGGGAACTCAACCATATTTCTGCCCAAAGGGGTCAACTGTCCGACGTTGTCGAGTGCGCCTAAGATCCACAACTGATACATAGAGTTCAACATATTGTCCTCTGGCGGAGGATCCATGAAATGGAACTGAAGTAAGTCCTGAACGCCGTGTGATTTCAATAGCAACACAACATTCGCCAAATTGGTTCTTTGGATCTCAGGGACAGTATTGGCCAGCATTTCATGTTTGTATTGAGTCTCTGTGTATAACCGGTAACAACATCCCGGACCCGTTCGTCCGGCGCGACCACTCCTTTGGTTTGCGTTGGCCTGAGATATGGGATACACTTGAAGCGCATCCATACCTATACGCGGGTTATAAACCTTGAGTTTACAATAGCCAGAGTCGACGACAAACATAATGCCGTCCACTGTGAGCGACGTCTCTGCTATATTCGTGGCCACAATGCACTTCCGGATACCATTCTCTGCCTTCTGAAAGATCTTCGCCTGTAAGTCAGACGGCAATTGAGAATATATGGGAAGTATAGCCAATTCAGGCGTTTCTGTCTGCGATGTCTCCGATAGTACTTTCAAGCGTTCAGTTATCACTTCACACGTCACTTCAATGTCCTCCTGTCCCGGCATAAACACAAGTATATCACCGGGAAGTCCTCCTAAATGTATTTGAATTGTCTGTTTGACAGCAGCGTCGACGTAGTCTTCGCAGGAATTCTTAGAGAAGTATAGCTGGACGGGGAATGTGCGGCCGGGGATTATAAACACAGGAACGTTACCAAAAAATAGTGCAAACTTTGATGAATCCATTGTAGCGGAAGTGACAATAAGTTTGAGATCAGTTCTTCTGCCGACAACATTACGAAGAATACCAAACAAGACGTCAGTATCGAGACTCCGTTCGTGGGCCTCATCCATGATAACGGCGCTGTAATTGTCTAAATCGGGTTCGGATAGCGATTCTCTGAGCAAAATTCCGTCCGTCATATACTTAATGATAGTCTTATTGGAAGTGCAGTCTTCGAATCGTATGGCATAACCCACTTCTTCGCCCAATTTGACACCCATTTCATCGGAAACACGTTTGGCGACAGACATTGCGGCCACACGTCTGGGTTGAGTGCAACCAATCATTCCGTATTTAGTGTATCCCTCTTCGTGTAAGTATTGAGTCAATTGTGTTGTCTTTCCGGAACCGGTCTCTCCGACAACAATCACTATATTATTATCTCGAATAACATTCAGTAATTCGTTGCGAACGGCAAAAGCCGGTAAGAATTGTCTTTGTTTTCTAATCTTCAAGCGATCGGATTGCTCCTCATTCTCGTCCATATGGTCTTTGAATCGATGCTCTGCTTTGTAGTCATCGCTCTTTTCGAGGTTAGAGTCGGTCTCGTCTTTAGGCTTTTCAACGCCCATAATATCCCCCAAACGAGTGCCCGAAAGCTCCCATTCCTTCTTCTGAGCCTTTTTCCTTTCCTTCATTTCCCTGTGATATCGAACTAAAGCCGAGCCCTTCCGCGACAGAATCGCAAAGTCAGACGTCGGGTCTCTCACAGGAATGATAGGTTCGGGTTGTTTAGTGAACACTATGCGTCCGTCGAGGAATGGCGGCACTATGTTGTGCACCATTAGATGCACTCTTCCCTCATTCACCTCTTCCTCTTCATCCATATTATCGTTGACGCGAACGACAACTCCTGAGAGGAGAAGTCGATTCGTTTCCCACTTTTCATTGTCTTTATTGATTTGTCTTTGTTGGGCACTAATCCTCTGAACCACTTTATTCTTCTTAAGCGCTTCTTCGCGTCGTTGAATAAACTCTTCGTTCATATTTCCAAACGGGTTTTGATCGCACTCTTCATCATACCATTCCCGGTCCACTCGACGCACTTCGTCGTCATCCTCTTCCCAATCAAAAGGATCGTCTGTTCTCTCAGTATTTTTCCTCTGAATCCCCCAATGGGTTGGCGTCGGTCGGGGTGTTCCCGGAGTTCCCATTCGTTGGGGCGTCAGATCCCAAGAACTTCGCAAATCTCCGGTCGATCTGACGTCTGGAGTGAAGGTGCGCTCAGATCTCTCGCTCCTATGTGAGGCTGCGCTAGAAGCCAGGGTTAACAGCAGAAGTAGGGTTAAGCTCACGCTTCCCCACAATTAGGAGCCGCTACCGCGGGTGGCTGCTCGCTCAGGCGGCAAACAGAATTATCAGCTGACGGCGTGCCGTTCATCTCTTCGTTCGTCTCTCTTTCTCTTCCTCTGCAGGTATTCATCACTGACTCCTCCAGAATGCGATGGCGTCTCCACTCTATGTTTACGGATGTGTCGGCTCTTGTAATCCCTGTCCGACCGGTATCTCTCATCCCTATCACTCCTATCACTTCTCTCACTCGTGTCATCCCTTTCCCTCCTATCACCTCTTCTATCGTCACTCCTGTCCCGACCGTCTCTGTGACTATCTCTGGGACTGTCTCTCTCGCTGTCGATGGCCTCCAATGCCTTCAATTGTCTCTTTTCCTGTGCCAACCGATCCAACCCAAGCAGCGAAACGCCCGGCTTTTTGAACACAAACTCGTCCTCATTATTGGGTGTCTTCTTCTTTATGACGAGACCTCCGACTTCTGCAGCGCTTCCTTCCAGACGATTGATGTTTGAGGTGTCGAAAGACATCACCACTTAAGACACCGCTTAAGACACCACTTAAGACACCGCTCAACGAATGGCACAAAACACCGACAAAATTGTATTCTTGTAATTGAGGGCTAATTATCTGAAAGTTGTCTCAAATGTCACAAACATTTCAATCTATTAAACACTAAATGAATGGATAAACGATTGAAACAACGATTAAAACAAATGATTGCTTTTGAAGTGAAGATCACATGAAATAAATGCAATCAAAACACAAACGAAATCGCATTTCATTGGGAACTGCGGTCAACAGCACTACAACAGATGGCACTGCACTGGACTATAGGTCGTAACTCACACACCGCTCGCAATGCATTTGTAGCGCTAAGTTGTCAATGAGTTACGCCTTTATTGCGATCACTATTAACATGTTGTGGATGTGATGGTCACAGAAAGATGTGAAGTGAAGGGATTTGGTGTCAAAACAAGAGACCATTTGATTGATAATAAAAATTTGTTGATATAGTCATCACATTCCAGTGATTTTGTGGTAAGTCACTTGTCTTTGTGTCACTTCTTGGCCACAACTGGAACCGATTGATACTCGTGTTGGTGAAGACGTGTTCAGAAACCAGTGAAAGATCGCCGACAATGACTACAATGGAGTTCTTCGGATGCACTTTCATATCATTTGGTCCACCATTTGCTATGTTCTGTCTATTGATAGCCAAAGACCCCATCAGAATCATTATATTGATCTCTGCGTCAGTCCAATCAAACCAATCACATGAATGTCTTGTACTGAATATCACTTATTTTTTCAGAGCATTCTTCTGGTTATTATCGCTATTATTGTCATCTATTCTCTGGACAGCTGTAGTGCCTCTCAAGGAATACTTGGTCTTTGGCGTCACTTTTTCCATCATATTTCAGGAGTTGTTTCGATATGTCTTCTATCGTGTCATTCGGTATTTCCATTCAAACTGTTTGTCCATTAGATGACACTTGTATTGACTCCATTGTCACCACTAGGAGAGCAGAGCCAGGCCTCGAGAAAGTGTCTGAAGTGGGAACGCCTAGTGGTTCCCATATGGTTGTCAACGATAGGACACAACTAGCATTCGGTTTGTATTGATTGTCATTTATGGATCCAATGAAGGACTCATGCATTGAATATCACAAAACTAGTGTCAGGTCTGGGGTTCGGTCTGATGGCCGGCGCCTTCTCACTGACCAACATATTGGCCGATAGTGTGGGTCCGGGAACTGTGGGCCTGACCGGTGACTCGCATTACTTCTTCCTGTGCTCTTCGTTCACGACTCTGGCGTTCATATTATTGCACACCTTTTGGGGCGTCATCTTCTTCAAGGCCTGTGACAATCGGAACTACACTCTCATTGCTTACGTCTTTCTCTCACATCTGATCGCATCGGGAATTGTGAGTCCATTGCCGTTATCATCGGTTTAATCCATTGTTACAATCAATTGTCTAATTTGTATTCATTTCTGCAGACGTTTGTCAATCAAAGCCAGTTATATATGGTGTCAATTGTGGTGATATATGCCGTGACTGTCATAACATCGGTGTTTGCGTTCTATAGCGCCGGCGGTTCACTCAATAGCTTGAAGAGAGTCTTAAGTCGACAGTAATTTTTTTATATAAAAATCTTTCTTAATTTATAAGTTATTTATTTTTGGATCACATGTCACTCATTGAATACGAACACAATATTATGTGTTTTTTGTATTAATTAACATATTTTTCAAAACCAAATCCTCTCTGTATTATCCCAAAGATTAACTGATTGTATGAATTTTGCGATTCATCGACTCATTTATAACATATTTTGGTCCCAAATAATGAAATTTTAACTCTTATTAACTATAACTGAATTTAAATTCAGTGACATATTTATATGAAATACGTGCAAAACGTTTGTAATTTAATATTTTATTTTAATCTTTTGGTAGAATTTAATAAATTGTTTGCAAATTAAACCAATGTTTTACTACTACTGGTATGTTTTGAAATACGGTATTAATTAATTAACTTTTATTCAGTTTTGTTTGTTAAGCTTATTAAGTATTAAGTTTAAATCAAATATTTATTATGAGAAATAAACTTACGGTACAAAGTAATCTATGTACAGTATATTCTATTACAAATTATTGTGAAGTACCGCACAATATAAATATTTGCACATATTTTTAAAAATTAATATAATTTTTGATTGCTCCAACAAAATTGTGGTCACAGATTATGCTCATAATATAAGTTTTAACCAATTACAGTATATTAAATAGAATGGGAGCGGGGGAGTATGCCCAACCCTGGCCATTGATTATAATAATAAAAAGCGTTAAATGTATTAAATATAAATCAAACAATTGCTCACAGAATGCACAGAATATGTATAACAAGAAAATACTGTTTTGAATATCTAGTCTGCAAATAGTTTTCTCGTTAAATGTTTATTTATTTTGCAATGAAATTGTTGGAACTACAGACAAGGGAGTCATAATTGTCAAAATACAATATATTATATTGTATAAGATATTCATAATTCCGTTGGACTATAACCGATACTCTAATAGCAATAAATATTGTGTATTATTAATGATATTTTAATAAATAGTTATTCATAGAGTGGTGAACAGGTATCTCATTAATAGAGCTGAGCTTTTCTACAGTATCACAGACTTATTGATTATACGGAAAGCAATTCGTGAATTGAAGTCTTTGTCATTGTATGGGATAATCATATTTGTTATTAGCGATCGTGTTGACACAACTCTAATGTATGGCATTAACAGCTTTAATAAACTAAACTTAATTTTATATAGTCTTCAGAACGGAAATAGAGGTGAGAAAAGACTTTTTTATTACATCCCTCCCTAATAAGGACTTAATTCACAATTATTATGTATTCTCTATACATCTGTCATGTGTTGAAAGTCTAGCCTTTTTAATCAATCAACAGAATTTATTTTAGTCTATCATTGAGCTCGTCAATAATCTTGTGTAACTTGTTTTGGTAATTATAAATTAATTCAATTATATTGATTATTAATATTAAATTTGTCAACGAATTTTGAAATTAAACAACTTATTTGAACATTTTTAAATTTTAATTATAAAAAATTAACCTGTAGTTAATTTGGGTTTAGATTAAGTACCGTAATTGGATAATTAATAAAAATACATTTAATTTTAATTTATTTTTTCTAATTACCTTTTGATAAACAAGAATTTAATGAATAATTTTTTATATAATTTAATATTATACATAATTAATATGACTAATTTTCTTATAAATTATATATTATACTGTAGTAATGTAATTAGTAATATAAGAATACAGTATAATAAATTATTTCATGCCATTTTATCAGAATAAACATTAATGTAAAACATAATTTAAATAAAATAATACCAATTTAAATGCACGAGTATTTTTATTAAGTTATTAAAGATTATGTTTATACAATATAAAAGTTATTACTAAATTTAATTTATGATTTGAATTTATTGACATTAAAAAATGGTCATGCACTTTAAATTAAATTCCATTTGCATTTAATTATTAAATGCAATTAATAATAGAAAATAATATAAAAATTAGATAAAGATATAAGCAATTAAATAAAATGACTTATAATAAAATATAATTAATACACGGTGATGGCTGTTTATACACAAAATCAAATAGTGGTCATTACACTTAATTAATTTAAATTCTTCAACAAATTAAAATAAAAATAGTTGTTTAAATAAACGTTCAAATATTTAAAATTTAAATTTTAAATAGTTTCAAAAATAAAACTAAAGAACGTTTAATTGTATAAATTCTTAATTTCTTTGACAACAGAACATTATAAAAATTATATAATTCTCTGGATTAAAGTGTATTACAATTGTTAAAAATAAACATTTTATATAACTTCTAAATTCTGCTTATGTTATATTAAATTCAATGATCAAAATAGACTAATAATAGCAAATCGATAGATACCATAACTCTTGAAAACCCTGAACTAAACTATCATTTCATAAGAATAGATATTAATAAAAATTAAACAATAAGTTAAAAATAACTTTTGTTTAACACTTTATCTAATAAATAAAGTACAGTATTATAACAACCAACTAGTCTGATATCTTTTATATAGTAAAACTTTGATTTAAAATATAATTACTGTATAAGAAAAACTTTTTTACAATAAGGAATAAAATATTTGACTTAGCCAGTAAATACGGTATTAATAATACCGTATTTAACACAGACTTATGTGGACTTAAATTTCGCTTAAATAAAATTCAATTACATTAAACATTTTACTAAACATACTTTAACATATTTTATATAAGTACTTAGCTATTATCAAGCTGAATGTTACTATTATAAAGAATTGTATAAAGAATTTAATATAAATTTCAATCAATAGGCCAATGAATAGTAAATATTATATATTTCAGACTCAATAAAATTTGCCATAATATTAAAAATGCAAAGAATTTTGATTGAATTATGATTACAGTAAAATATAATGTGCGAGTATTTTCATAAGAAATAAGACATCTGTTGTGTAACTATAATCTCATTGGTAAGTATTTCAGTTGATTTCCAATTTGAATAATTATTGATTTTTAAACATATATTAAAAAAGTAAGTGATAGGAATTTTATATTCTTACTGCACTTATTGAGCACTTACAACATACAGTACATTGCTATTAATTTGTAGTGTAGGTACGGAATATTGTAAAATGTCATAAAAATAATAATTAAAATTGATTGAAATCTTATTTGCAAATAATTACTTGAATGAAGCCATGCATAAGGAATGAGAGAAACAAAATAAAATGAAAATTTGATTATAAAGAAAAATATTTAATCTTCTTATGTGGACTTAAATTTCGCTTAAATAAAATTCAATTACATTAAACATTTTACTAAACATACTTTAACATATTTTATATAAGTACTTAGCTATTATCAAGCTGAATGTTACTATTATAAAGAATTTAATATAAATTTCAATCAATAGGCCAATGAATAGTAAATATTATATATTTCAGACTCAATCAAATTTGCCATAATATTAAAAATGCAAAGAATTTTGATTGAATTATGATTACAGTCAAATATAATGTGCGAGTATTTTCATAAGAAATAAGACATCTGTTGTGTAACTATAATCTCATTGCTAAGTATTTCAGTTGATTTCCAATTTGAATAATTATTGATTTTTAAACATATATTAAAAAAGTAAGTGATAGGAATTTTATATTCTTACTGCACTTATTGAACACTTACAACATACAGTACATTGCTATTAATTTGTAGTGTAGGTACGGAATATTGTAAAATGCCATAAAAATAATAATTAAAATTGATTGAAATCTTATTTGCAAATAATTACTTGAATGAAGCCATGCATAAGGAATGAGAGAAACAAAATAAAATGAAAATTTGATTATAAAGAAAAATATTTAATCTTAAAGATAAGACAATTAGTGATAAGAATAATGTAAAGCGTTGACAGAAATGAAAGTATAGAAAAAGCGCTGAAAACATAAAAACAGTTGATTTGTGTTAATATGCTATTAAAGGGACACAACTCATGTACAATCAGTTTAAGTACAACACAAGCAATGAGTAAATGATATAAAAAACAATTTAAATCTCTAATTGATATGATAGAGAGAATGGTAGTGTAGGTTAGCATTGAAATTCATACTATGCATGTGTTTGGAGGCGATGAGGGGACGGTCCCCGTGTTTGGGCGCCGTTAGCCTGTATTGAGTGGATATGAATCCTATGTACTGTATGTACGGCATGAAGGAGTCATACATTTGTAATAATCGCCAAAAAGTGAATGCAAATAATAGTTTCGTATGTGAAGTGTTCAGTCGACTCACACAACACCGGCTCTCATATCAATTGAATCACAATCAATGCAAACAATTAGTTAATTATTGGATCAATTGATTTCAACTACTTTTGCTACCATTCATTCACTTGCAATCATTTGTCACAACCATTATATCACTCATTATAATCATTATTATATCATAAGTTTCATTATACTGTTGAGATTTTCATAAATGTTTGCTTAGTTTGTGGCCAACATTTGGTAAACATATCTATTTTCGGTCAACAAATTGTTTGCATTTATAGTAATCTGTATATTATATTAACTCATTATTTATATGAAAGTGTTTTCTAATTAACCATTGAATGGCTCAATGTTTTGTACAATTAAGACATTGATGGTAATATTGGTGATACTAAT